CAAGGTTCTTGAGAGCAAGTTTGAAAGGAAGAAATATTTTATCCATTTCTACTGTACGGTACAAAAAATGGTTTTAGGGCTAAAATTCAGTCAACTCAAAACAGTTGTTTGGCTGATAGACAAACAGAATAACAATCAGCTTACATTTTTATAATACTTTTCATGCCAAATGATCCAACAGGACTTCACATACAGTAAATAGGATTGACCTATACTTAGTGTATTCCTAGTGATTAGTGATAGCAATGCCTTCAATCACTTCACTAATGTCTACGGCAGTAGCACACTACAGTTTGTGATGCAGGATCATCCACCCAAAAATAAATCCTGAAGAAATAAAGAAAAACTTCCAACTGGCACTACTGTGTCGCATTATCAAAGCTGCTGGGATGGTGGCCAATCTAATTACACATGTTTTTCTTCATTACAGTTAGATAAACTAAACTGTAATCTTCTAATCTTCTAATTCCCACCTAGTAATCCGGAGTGCAGATAAAAACATATATTATAATGCATATTGTAGAAACGGTTTACAGAAAAGGAAGAGATCTTTATTTTTTTCAGTTCTTTGTGTTTATTTGCGACCAGGACACACAACCTTACATTATTGTGACTTCTTCCCACTTTGTAGCAGTTGGATCTATTTGCATGCTGGCATTTACAAAATACTGGCAAATGTGAGAAGTGAATTGGTGGGAAGAACTTCTAACTTAACATACACAACTCGGCAGATTTACTAATAAAAAGACAATTAGTACAAAACACAGAGAACCAAAAATGTCTCTAACTACTATGCAGTTGGAGTGATGCTAACATCTCGAATGTACTCTTGCATCTTTCAGAGGATTACAGTGCCAGGTGGGATTTTATTTTTTTAGTGAGCTCACTGGGTTTCCTAAGGAATCATTTTATCTTTTTTCTTAAAAATAGACATGATGCTCTTTCAACAGAGAACAAAGAAAGAAGATAAGCATGAATATTTTAAATAGTTTGCATAATTGCATTGAAAGAGATATATTTACCCAAGTTAGAAAATACTATGCTGTAGATCATTATCTTGCAACCAATATCCCATGAATGATTTTTCTTGCTCTGGAATGATAGCTTCCTGCTTCGTTTTATTTTGTTGGATGTATTACTGGCTAACATCTCAAATATAGCCAACCTTTGACTTTCTAAAGAATATACTCCAAAACTCCCCTCAGCAAGTTAACCATAAGAATGAAATGATCATGAGAAAAATTTCAGAATTGATTATTTTAAGGATTCACATATCGCAGTTTTTAGCCCCTCTTTTTCTTTGAAATGCATTGATTGAAAAGAGCACCATTGTATTGAGTGCTTCTGGCACAACTTTTCTAGCCCATGATGTGAAATTCCTGTTCATTTTAGGCCGCTTGATTTAACTTTGTGGAAGACCAAACTGCCAAGAAAGTTGGAAGACACCTGTTTAACATAAATATTTTCAAAATAATATGATTAAGTTACTTTATGATTGTTCACAGTCCACACAGTGGTGCAGTGGTAAGCTGCCTAGCAGGTTCAATTCCTGGGGTGCTACTTGTGTGGAGCTTCTATGTTCATGTTGGTTTCTTCTAGGTGCTCCAATTTCCTCCCAAAACATACCAGTAGGTTAACTGGTTTCTGGGAAAACTGGATGTGTCTCTCTTTGAGATGGTCCGCCCTTTGATGGAGTGGCATCCTGTCCAAGGTGTATCCTGCCTTGCACCTGTTGTTTACCTGGATAGGCTTCGGCTCCCCTATGACCCCGAACTGGAAGAAGCAGTTAGAAAATAGATGGGTGACTGTTCACCTTTCATTTCAAAGTAAACATCAGTTGAGAATGAATTACTCTTTACTCTCAGTGAGTCCTAAAGAAAGTTTATGATACAAACACTGGAATATTCGTCTCAGAAATAAAACCTCTGAATTAATATTAAGGTTTACTGAAAGTTGTTTGATAAGTAAGGTAAAATTATATGGTAAATTCAAAAATACCACAATTCCAAAAATAAATGCATAACTATCTGTTATATATTTGCAGGCATGTATGTGTGTCACCCATGTGGATTGATGAAGTGGATACCCTCCTATCTGTAAAGCACTTTGGGATGAAAAGCACTACATATATGAAAGCAATTAGTATTAAAAGGTGTGCGACAGAGAAGACCACAAGTATCACAAGTGAAGTGCCGTGGAATTCACTGAGTAAAATTGAGGCAGGTAGAGGCTTAGTGAAAGCTTGAAAAATTCCCTTATCTGTCATTGCGAAACTGCAAAATAATGGGGAGGCAGGCAGATGTTCCCGTTTTCCTTGACAGAAATGGAGGTCAAGTGCAGCTTTATGTGAAGCTAACAGATGATAGCTTTAACTAGCACAGGGAAAAGGAGATGGGGTAGGGAACACTTCAATGTGAAATGAAAAGGCTCTTGAGATCCCTCAAGGAACAGAGGTAGAATTTACTGGATATTATTATTTTTGAATTGCATACTGTGGGAAGAAAAAAAAAACAGGCAGCTATTTTATGTAGCAATTACAGGATAAAAGGCTGGGTCTCTGGATATCAGGTTGGAGGACATGGAAATGGGCAATGGATGATGGGCAGTAGGGGGTAGAGCTCTTCCAGTGGAACGAATAGTCTGTGTTGTATCCTAATATTTCAGAAATCCATTGGCCCCAGGGCTGATTAAATGATGCTTTTCTCACTCAGGAAAGCGCCTGGAGCATTTTAATTCGGGTGTTACTATTTTGTGTCACTTTCTCGTCATTGTTTTTGCATTTTAAAATCTGAACTCGATGGAGATTTGACAACAGGCTTTGGCTACAGTTGCAGAACGCTGGTATCCCAGGAAACCAAACCAGGAAAAAAAAGCAGCGACAGTGGTTTAGGACACGAGGGGAAAAAAAAGAAAAATCCCTTGATTTGTTTTCTTCATACTTATTCGTATTTTTTAAACAAGTGTCTATGCAGCTGAATGCCATCATCTCTTTAAACGTGACAGGCTTCTTTGTATGGTAATTGTTGGCTTTCTTGGAGTGGCTGCCGAGAGGACGTGCTCCCCTTTATCAGTGTTAATGTGCAAATTAATACTATAATAAAGGAGGCCAGTCTTCTAAAGCAGTAAACTGGTTTAAAAAAAAATCTTATTGAAAAACTTCTGTGAGAATGGGGAAACAAACATACCTCTTTTCCTCCTGCCAGTTTCATACACTCACACCTTGGATAGAGGAAGTAGGGAAAGATTACAGACAATATCTTACATAGCATTGGTTCATGCAAACCAATCAATACAACAAACTGGTGATTCCATGGTACTGCAAGCACTTTGAGCTGCGGTTGAAAGAAACACGTTATTAAAGTATGATCAATGAATATGTCTTGCCAGAAGCTTTTATGTTTGATTAGTCTAGATAAAACATTGACTTGTTTAACAGAATCTGCTGTTTGTGAACAGTGGTATCCTACTTGTCTAAGTAAAACAGTTTTGAATTTGAAGGTGAAATAATGTCATTTTTATTGCAAAAAAAATGTTCTAGAAAGTGTTACTAGGACACAAATTTCAGGAATAAAAGCCCTAGTGGGAAAAAAAATCACCACACAAAAAAGGCTTCGTCCTAATTTAAGAACATGTGTCCTTTCTTATTTTCAAAACTCTAGAAGGTGAAGACTTAAACCATTTATAATAGTGCAGAAAAATAGACAAATCTTTTTCCTGGAATTCAAACACTGGCCCCAAGGATGAGAGAAAGCTTCACGAGAATTTTCCTCTATGGTGACACTCTTTACACTGCTTACAAGTAAAGACTTTATCAAATAAAACATTCCTGCCTGATTCTTAGTTGATGCTCTAGGAGAGAACTTCCTTGGCTGGAAAAGTCTTCAGCATATTTTTTTACCTTGGCACACAAAATCAATCTTATTCTGCCTTTGACACAGTTTACATTGTGTTCATGAGTTCAGTAACACCAAACAGATTGTAATATCAAGAAAAAACATATCCCCTCATGTCACATTGCTCTTAGCCTGCTTTATACTGGATTAAGACACAACCCAGAGAACAGATTTAGAAGATTTGTACAGTATACTACTTACAGAAGGTAACAGTCTTGCCATTGTAATTATGGTGTAGATTATTTGAAAATATTAAAAAGAACACTGCAATGATGGCAAATTGATTTATGTTTGCTGGTTTGTTTAATGGTCGTTTTTAAAAGTATTAACAAAGTACAAAAACATCTGGCTGCCCCAAACAGCTGTTATCTTGTATTACCAGTCCACAAGTCTTTATCATGATTGCTTCTGTTCTGTGCTGCTATACTCTTGCTATTTGCCAAGACTGCTATCAATTCAACAGCTTACAATAACAGTTTGTTCTACTATCACTGTTAATCAAAAATAAGTTCAATTTATAATATTGAGGGTTGTCAATTTTTATAAGTACCAAGTAAAAGCCAAGTATGGTAACACTAGCAAACAAACTATAGGATTAACCTCTTCTGTGAGACAATGATCCTTTTTCATTTCACAGACTTTCAGAAAATTATTATTTTTTTCTATTAAATCTATTCTGGTAATCCTTTAGTGGATTGTATGTTCATAGAACAGTGATTATATCCTGAAGAAATAATTAGACAAATATCAATTAAGAATGCCCTCCTAGCAGGTCATCAGCAAATAGCAATTCTACAACTGATATTCCCTGCTGGGAAGATTTACAGATACATGTTTATTATCACATTTTAGCAATAAAGTTGTTTGAGGTGGGAAAAACACAGCAAGAGGTGTATTCACTCTGACCTTATTGTGCTAACATAGAGCTTCACTGTGTGCTGAAGCAAAAACAGATTCCAAGAACATGGTTAAACATTGCAAGAATCTGAAAAGGAATAGGATAGAATAAAGTTATTAAATAATAATTGCTTACACGTATGTAGCACTTCTCTGAACACTCCACTCAAAGCACTTCACAGGTAACCACCAACCACCAATGTGCAGCATCCACCTGGATGCCATAGTACAGCCATAGTGCGCCAGAACGCTCACCACACATCAGCCATCAGTGGGGAGGAGAGGAGAGTAATGAAGCCAATTCATAGATTGGCTTTAATAAATTCATAAAATTCATAAATGTCTGGGATATGTGAAAAAACTTTTTAATGTATATACTGTACTACAGAATCTGAATGTTCCACATGCTATCCTCCCCCTTTAAAAATAAGTAATAATAATTAATACATTAAGAAATTACTGTAAAAATGTGTTAGTAATTTTACCAACACAGAAACTTTTTTTTTTATTTTGAGGCTCTGATGCTGCATTGACTAAGGGATTTTTAATATAGAAAATAAAATTAATTGTGCCATTTTACGTAAAAAGAAATAACTGCTTTGAATTAATAGTCGTACGGTGGAAGAACATGAAAGCCAAACAAAATTGTTCATACACTTTTGTGCATAACAATCTTTAAATTAATGTACAGCTTCTCTCTCCCAATCCAGAACTTTGCCTTAATGTTACACCCTGACATCTAGCCTCATGTATCCTTATGATTTACCTTTCATTACTTAATACTTCACTATTAACAGTTCACAGCATACCTGTCGCATTATTCTGAAAGAACACTGATAGGAGCAGGAAGCAGGACTGGAACTCTGATTAGCAAGGACGGCTGGCTGATCCTAACTGGAGTTTTTCACTCCAGTGTTTGTATTTCTGCTTTGCCGGTGATATGCACTGTGCAATACAGTAAACCATTACTGTACCTAGGATTTGTGTACATCCGTAAGTGTTCAATGATCACTAAAGATACACATGCTCATGTACAATGCAATGTTATTTTTTTTTTAAATATGCAAACGCTTAAGTGTGCTTTTAGTATTTCTTTTTCTATGCACAAAAACCATGAACACTATGACCTAAAACGTCTTTGCCACATTTACTATTTTAAATATTGCTTAAATGTTTCGGGCATCATTTTGGCTGATTGATCATTCCAGACAGTGAAACACTTGCAGTGAGTTTGTCGCATAAGAACTCAATCGCCTTATTAGTGAGAAAGCTGATTGGGCGCAGGCAATGAGGTAAACCTGTTAAACATCCAGCTTGGTAAAAATCAATAACGAAAAACAAACAAAGGACCCAATATGTTCCACATATTAAGATGAAAATGCCTTTAATGTCATCAGAGTGCTTGAAGCTGGGGTTAATTACCACAAGCAGACTTGCCAGCAGTAAAATAAATCAAGTTTTTTTTTGGTCTTGACACCCCCATGGACATCAGTGACTCCAGCACAGACATGCAGAATAATACATTAACTACTGCGTACGACAGATCATTCAGTGGGGAGATCCACATGTGATGAGTTGGCAGGTAGTGTCTAGTCACTACAGAGCTCCACTTCCATCAATAGTAATCTCACCCCATGGCTACATTCTAGGACCTCTAAGGCTACGAGACCAATTTCCAGGCTCTATAAGAGGAATGGGACAGAGTCCTACTAGACAGCACTAGCAACCTGGTGCAAACAATACGTTGGCAGATATAGAAATGTATTATTTGTAACACCAAATGATACTATCATCTGAGTTTCATAGCAGATTCCATGGTGATGAATTCTGCCGATGCCAAAAGCTAATCAGCATAATAAGTTTACGTAGGTAATGCCTATTCGATAAGTTATTCATACACGTGCTACAAATATACTGCCATTTCACTTATAACAACTTTGCAATCTGTTGAGTTACAAGTTATTTTTGATAGTCAGCAGAGAAAGATGCTATGCTATTAAAAAAAAACATTTTCTTTTAGACTTGCATTTGGGAGTATTCCCTCCACAAGAAACAAGAGGACCTAACAGCACAATGAAGCAGTAACTGGAAGTCTTAGAAGGATTTAGACAATATTCAGTCTGCCAATCAGCACACTTTTCATTTCTCACTAATTCTAACAGCTTGGACAACCCTGATATCACAAGGAGGATTAAAAGCTCAAAACACTGTTTTTATACATTCTAGCGTGCCATTCAAAATATGTGATTGTCATTATACAATCTGAAAGAAAATATACATCAGTAATAAAAGCACAGATATAAAGCATGTTTCAATTTCATGTGACTGCAACCGAGGTGGTGAGTGTCAGGATTCTAAAATCAGTTTTAAACACAAACTATAAGTTGATCTCTTGCTGCTGTCTTCCATCACATAGCCCTCAATCAGACAAGGAGGGACCTTTAATAATGACAATTTGCTTGAACGATCTAATTCCAAAAGCTTTTTGCACACTATGTTCCAGGTTCAACCCAGACACTTTCAGTGGCTTAATGAGCTTCTATCTCTTTATGATACCTTTCTTGGAAACAGTGTTATCAAGGAACTAGCCTAGTCAACAAATATATCCTGTAATATCTGAGTCTGAGCTTTTGTATAAATGCAGTAGCAGGGAAGTCAGCAGATTTACCTTTAGGTCAACACGCCAATAGCTCTAATCCCACACTAAAAAGTGTCCAAAGACAAATCCAACAGGAACTCCTAGATTGTCAACACTGTAAATCAAATTCTCAAAAGCATTCATAAATCATCCATTCATAACCTAATATGGACCATAATGCAATCTAACCATCCAGATTCCAAGGCTAATTTGGCTTTGAACACATCACAATATCAAACTCGGTTTTTCATTTTTTTAACATGGGAAAAATAAGCTACCTAATTCTATGCTTTTAAAGTAATAATGCAAACACGTAGAGACACGGCAAAGTTCTGAACCTTTAGCCTTCCAACAGGATCTCCCTTATAGCTGTGCTGGACTGCTGGATAACGGCAGTGTGCTGTTGAACACAAGCGGCGTCCTGTTTTATTAAAGCCAAACCAGAGCTCCTTACATGAAGAATCCGACAACTAGTATGCGGAGCTTGCAAGCTGTCTGGATAGCTTGGCACAGTGCAGGGTGACAAATAAACAAGTGTTTATCTGATGGCAGACATACGGTGGCATAAAGCCAGGACAGAAGAGGGAAAAAAAAACATTTAAACCACAGGGGAAAAAAAAGGACTGGATCTCTACGTTTAAACAACAATGAAACATTTGCTCTAAGAGACAGCGCTGTGATCACCGTTTTATGAAAATGAATTAGGAGACTGAACCAAACGCACGAATAGGTAGAATGTTTTTCGGAAGGATCTTGAGCTCTAATTATACCCTTTAAATATCAACAGATGGGTTATTCTTGAAAGCTTCATTTAGGACTACTATAACACATTTACTGGGATTTAGTACAGGAGCCCCAAAGTAGAAACAAAAACATGTACATAGGTAGGCACAGATGTTGGAAGCATAGATGCATTAAGAATCAAGGCTTCACGTACACAATGCAGCGGTTCAATCTCGGCTACGCACCGCAAAGCGATTAATATCGGGTCTTCAAACCGCAAGCTTTCACCTTTAAAAGGAAGTACCGCCACCTTGCTCTCCCTCGTCCCTGACGCACTACCACCAAAAAATATTTTGTAAAAAAAAATGCAAAGCCACTTTTATATAAAAAAAAACCCCGAAAGTCCAGGGAAAATGACCAAACCCCTTGATCACACGCACGGAACCCTAATCATAAGACCCGGTTCTAGCGCTTCCGAAGAGCCCCCAGACAGAAGCTGTGAAACCCTCCCGGAATGCAGACGCGTACCGAGAAGATTTCAGGACGAAAGGGCGATCAGATTGCACATTTCGCATCCGACTGGAAACGCGGGCGCTCTACCGTCATAGTAGCGATGGGTCCGCATTTTGTCGGACCGCGCTCGGCTACCGACTGCCACACCGGTGGGCACGAACGTTGCACCCAGCAGACACGTACTTTCCAGGCTGGCATTTCAAAAGCCGTGCAAGGGCAAACGAAACGGGACAGCAGGTGCGAGTGAAGACCACAGCAGGCGCCCACGAATAATGGCCCTACCACCTTTTTTTTTTAACATTTGTGCTAATACCAGCCTCCGGGGAAAAAAAAAATCTCAGGATAACTGTCTAGTCTGGCTTGAGTAATGCCATGCAGAGAGAGAGAAGAGACTACACGCACTAGAGCACACCGAGCGCTCGCCTCGGCTGCGCGCTTCGCTACCCAGCACACACACACACGCATATCAAGTTTTTTTTAGCTAAACAAGAGAAACTTTCCAACAACTTTATCGTGTGCAGAACTAAGCACAAACCCTCGACGGTAAAAAAAAAAAAGAGCAGCGCTGCAAAAAAAAAAATCCAACCCCGAGCAGGTTCTCCAGCAGACTGAGAGACACCCCCCCCAGATCACGTACCCGCTGCCGCGCTCAGACAGCGGCGGTGCAGACACCCAAAAAAAAAGCAACCCCCTTCTCAAATGGAGGCAACAGCAGAAGAAAAGCCACAACGAAGGACAGCGGGGGTGGGGGGAAGAAGCGTTAACCGCGTTGAGCCACACACAGAAACGCAGCTGTGTCTGTTCCTGCGTTTTCAAGCAAGCACCCCGGGTTAACTCAGGTGACACACACACACAGACAAGAGGGGGAAAGGGGGGCGTGGAGGGGAAGGGAGGACTGGTCTGCGTTTTAGGTTCAAGCGAAACACAAAAAACAATCCCAAAGCCACCCTTACCTCCATACTTGTCCCATCTGCAGGATGTGTATGACAGACTGCCAGATCCACACGGATATCCGACAGCACCTGTCCCTGCCATGGGCGCCAGCGCCGAAGCCAGCCGCAGCTCGCCGGCTACTGAGCCCCTCCACCGCCCCCAAACCTCCCCCGGTGTAATCCTGCACGAACCACCTGAAGCTCAGGATCTGGACCAGCACCGACGGGACGAGCACGAAGAAGAGGGTCAACCCGAACCAAAGGTAGTCCCGCTTGGAGTAGTAATCGACGGCTAGCCACAGGTCCGTGCCCACGTCCCAAAAGAAGACCAACAGCGCCAGGACGATCCACAGGCAGTCCAGCCACAGGCGCTCCTCCTGCGGCGGCGGCCGCCTGGCTTCTTTCCCCTTCCCCAGGAGAGAACGAAGGCAGGCGCTCCGGCAGCCCCAATAACACGACGAGGTGTTGCAGCAATGACAGATGTGAATGGAGCTGCTCTCTCCGGGTTCCCCTTCGCCGTTCCCCACCGTTTCGTCCAGGTTGTGCAGTTGGGCGAAACCGGTAACGACCCCCACGCCATCAGATTTCGCTGCCATCTTGCTCTCTGAAGCTCCCCCCTCCGGCTTCCGGCGTTAGTGACGTCACTTCCTGGATACCTGTTCACCGACTCTACCCTCAATATGGCTGCCATCTAGTGTCCAGATATTTTGGTTAGGGGTTCTCTCACTTGTACCCAAAATTGATGCCCCCCGTCACTGCAGTCCAACATCTTTCAGCAAGGGAATCCATCAGCTTTGATTACAGCCCTATTGTGCAATGCATATTTTGGTCATATGTCAACTGATGAAAAGAGTACAAGTGATGAGTATTTTTGGATGCAGTTGAATTTCTCTCCGTGTAGCCTGTTTCAGTTGACTCTGCTGTGCACCGATGCAGCACAGTTTACAGCCGGTCTCTCCCACGAAACTGTGAAACTGCCAACACTTACACCCTTTACCTGCTTCCAAACGTCATTTCCTTTCCTCTTTTTTGTTCATATGGGTTCCCTATGGTTGCCATCTAGTGTCAAGTTTTGTAAAAGCAGTTGTTTTGTGTATTTGGTATGTAATATATAGATACATTCAAATCATATTTCTACTTATCTTTTTTGATCTGCCTATACATTGTTATAATATTTTTAAATATTTAATATTTTTTGTTATAAATTCAGAAGGAACTGGAATAATATTGATGCACCAGAAATAAATCAATCAATGTAACACTGGATCTGCAATGTTCTTTGAATGTTTTATCATTCGATATTTTAGGGAAACAAATATGGGTATGTTAGGCTATAATACAAAAAATTAGGATACAAGACAAGTCTCAGATAAACATCTGTCCACATCTAGCATAGTCTTACAGGAGAAAAAATAGTTTCACTGATGCTAAAAGAACCCAATTTATGAAGCAATCATTTCAATTTATGGCTTTTTCATTCTGAAGAGAAGCTGATTGCATATCAGATGATTAGTTTATATTTTATAAAAGGAATTTAAATTACTGAAAGTAAAAATAGGATTAAATTAGATCAACAGTTAGGATTAAATTAGATTAAATGACTATTGACTGAAAATTTAATTTTCATAGAACAGAATGGACTGATTGACTGTGAAGAGAAAAAGTAACAAATATTGAAATTTTTAAACTATAAAAAATCCTACAACTAAATATGAAGTAAGCTTATTATAAACTTTAAGTGTCTGGTGGTTAACTCTGTGTTGACAATTTACAGTAGTCAGTGTTAGATGCGTATCATGAATGGATGCTGCACATTGGTGATGATGGAGGGGAGTCCCCATTACCTGTAAAGCACTTTAAGTGGTGTCCAAAAAAGCACTATATACAGTAAGTGTAAGCAATTATGATTAATTCACATCTCAACCTTTTTCATTAATTACATTAAAAATAAAGGATAAAACTATAAAGAATACACAGATAAATATAAAGTTCTTCGGAAGAAGAAACACTTTTCAGGCTTATTGTTTTTTTAAGAACAAGAGGAAGTTACACCAAATTATGGGAATGTGAATATTAATTATTAATTCATTGATTTGTGCTGAACATTTTACAATTCTAGAAAGCAGAACTGTCTAAAATGACCTCTACTTGAGATTTGCTTTAGAATACATCTCTTTAGAATACATACATTACAATGTGTTTTACAACACAATTGAAAATGATCCAGTTTATTTCACCTTTTAAATTTATGTGAGGAGTGTATTCTCTGTGAAGTTGAAACGAAATCCCTTTAATAATCAAGTGGTATATCAGTACTTGTGTGGGTGGATCATATTTTTTATGTTTTAACCAAAATAATTTGTGCATTCAAGTTGGGAATTTCATGTATGCTTCCCGGTGCTCCCCTTTGGCCCTCATGACTATTGAAGTCTGTTACTGTTACTTAATATAAGTAGCTATTGGCCAAATTGCACTGAATGCTGTCATGAGAGTTTCCTTCGCTATTCATGAGCCACTTCATCAAAGCTGTACATGTGGAGTTGACCTTTTCTTTATTTTCATGTGTAAAAACAAGAAAAAGTCCTAATTGTGGTGATAATACCTTAAATAAATGCCAGTGTTTAACTGTTTTTGCTTCATTACATTTATTCTCAGTATACAGACATTATTTCTCATTTCTCCTCACCACATTCTCTTTTCCACTTCCTAATGATCGTGCTCTTTATCTTTCTTTATTTAGAGATTCACTATCTTGTATGAAGCTGCTGCGCATCTTGTTGCGAGCTCCCCAAGGTAGTTTTTTTTATTCTTTCTTTAGACTTATACATCACTTGAGAACAAATTCTCATTTACAATGACAACCTAGTCAATACCTATTCATTTGGCTGTGCATTTAGTGGTGTAATCTGAGTAAAGCACCTTACTCGAAAGTCAAAAGTACAATAGCATCACCTCACCTGGGATTTGAACACACAACTCTCTTGTCCAGAGTCCTAACCACTAGTCAACACTGCTGCAGGTTTTCAATACACTTAAGACCACTCACCACAATAACATCACAGTTTAAAAAGGTAGAACAGAAAAGTGAACAGTGAATCTTACCATCTTGTAATGAGCTATTCCTTTATTATTTTACTTGTCAAATTACAGTTTAATGAAAGGCACAAGAGGGGGAAACTTGAATCCTGCCTACGTTCTTGGTTAAAACTTAAGGGAAGACTAGCAGAAACTACACAGTGCCTCTAATGAGTAATTTGTACATCGATTATTCATATCATTTTATTTAAGCCTCTATATGATATCTTAATACAAAGGAAACATTTTCAAAAATCAGTTAAGGTAAAGTTAAGTATAAAATACACAATGGACATTTTTGGTATTTTGTGATGTGCAAATGAGGTTTGTAAGTCTAAGTAAGGAGTGTCCAAATCCTGGACTTGGAGGGATGGTCCATCTACAGTACTTGTTTTGTAGAAAGTCTGAAGAAGCAAGCCAGAAGAGCTGGGAAAAGCTGTTTGGACCAATCAAACTTGTAAGGAGCTGATTCATCTTATTATAAGATCAGCTGCACTGAAAGCCTGCAGACACTCCAAAAGTCCAAGATCAGGATTGAATATCCTTACATTAAATCTTTAAAAAGAAAAAGATAACCCACCACTGAAGGGGGCTTCATTTACTAAAAGGGAGTTACAGTACATGTTTAATCATGTGGACATCTTGGACATTATTTACTGTATCAAAATCTGTGGCCTTGACCACAATATTTTGTAAAACTAACCTGATACATTAAGCTCACAGAAAATAAATTCAATATTGAATTTTAAACTTTTAAGCTAGAGTAGTCATTTGACCAAGTTTTGCGTTAGCAAGAAACTCAAAGCTAGTGAGAAAAACCACGTTCTGTGTACGAGTGTCAGTGTGTAGGTTCAAAGTTATGTGCCCTGATGATGAGCAATACTAAATGGCATACTGCTTCAAAATTGGAAGACTGCATTGCAGCTAACCTCTATACCATTCACGATTTTCAATGAATCAGTGAGATCTCCAGAGTCTGCACAAAATATATAAGCTACTTCTTAGTGCTGAAATCACTGCTAAACCTGCCCTGAAGTGTAGCAATCATCCCATGATGAGAGGGCAGAGTGCAAGAGATCTGGTTTGGTATTGGCAGGCCAGTAATTAATGACTGGGGTCAGTAGTACTATGCTGGAGTTGTTCAGTAAATCCTGAATGATGTGATTTTCTGACTTTAAATCTTCACTCTAGACAGGTTAAGTACTGCTCTGTGGAGCAATGAGTGAGACAAAGGTTAAAGACGTTTGGATGTTTTAGCAAAGGTAATATCAGAGGTCTTTCGTCTGAAGTTTGAGGCTTTGAGTGAAGATGACCATACTTTAGTAAATTATACAGCACTTTCTCCAATGTTGCTACAGCTTTGAAAGCATATACCTTTAACATTTTCTTTTAATAGCCTAAATACAAATTTTCTCTCAATAAAAAGTAACAGTCTTGCTCTCTGATTCTATCATCTTTTCTGGTGCATTGTAGTTTTGGTACATGGAGGCATTATGTACTGGCCTGGTGTTCCATTGCTTCTTTTTCAAACAAATGCTTTGAGAAATGTCCCATCTATTTATAATGATTATTACATCCCACATTTTAACTCTTTCTTTGTCAGAACTTGTTTCACGAAGAGCCACGATTAAAAATCACCTTGTAATTTGCAATTAAAGGCAGTATACTGTAAATTTAATAATTTAATAAGGACCAGTTTTCTGAAATTTATAAACAAATAACCAAAGCAGCAGAAATCAATAAAACATGTCATTTTACTTTTAAGTAAAGAAAGATAAAATAATGTTGTTCCATCCACCCATTTTCTAACAGGTTCTTCCAATTCAAGGTCACAGGTGGAGCCGAAGCCTATCCTAGCAAGCAATATATGCAAGGTATATACATCTTGGGTGGATGGGACACCTGTCCAAGTCATTTTATCTTTTTTAGAAAAAAATAAATGAAAGCTTTCTTCAAAACAATAAGTGACTGCATTTGAGCTAAGAATGATATCAGCAAATTTCAAATATAAAAGTTTTGAGTAGTTTCTTACTAAAGTAAGTACACCAAATAACATTTTGTTTTACAACATACTGGGGAAAATAAATGTAGCATGCTACTGGGAAATACTTCCAGAAAACATGAAGCATCTGTTTTCCCTTCACAAAATCAGAAGCGTATTTCACAGATTCCACTGGGATTTGTTGACGCTAAATAATAAATTCCTCAATGGAATACCACTAGGGCTTGTGCCTCCTGGATGTACATGGTGTTCACACTTGTAGTTTCTTTTAGTGTTGTACCTTTAGAAAAAGAAGAGCAACATGATCAAGACATAACACAAACAAATCATTATACATTTTTCACTTTATAGGAGTTAAGAATAGGAGAAAAATAAAGTAGCTTAATTTAGCTTAACCAGTTATGTAGGATTTCTACTGGATCATACACAAATGTATTTTAAATTAATCACAAAACATACATAGCAGATGTTCAAAGTCATTAAGATGAGCTCAACATGGATAGTGAACAATGTGCATGAATTTCAATCATTCACTCTACTGATGTACTGTACATTGTTCACCACCGCTGTTTTTGAAATTCATGATTAATTCAGAAGAATTCAGGTTTGCAGTAATTGTTAACTTAATTTTTCAGCACCTTGAAACCTTTTGTTATTAAGCTTTGTCTCTAAGGCTATTAGATATATCCTAAATAATATATGTACGTATGTCTTTTTAAATGTGTATGATAATTTGTCTTCAATAACTTACCCCCTTGTCAATAAACAATACTTTAAGAAACAGGTTTTAAAATTACTAAATGTGACTAATGAATACAAGCTAACAGGTACTTCTATCATGATGTAGCTCTTACCTCCTATATTGCTCTTGAAGAGCTTGTGTACACCCCAATGGAAGGCAACACTTCAGTAGATGACAGTACATACAGTTTCCTGCTACGTATT